CGGAGGCCACACTTTCAGGTGTGACACTACGCACACGCGCTAGATGCAAAACTTTTAATTATATAAATTTGTGTGAGTTGATCTGTGTAATAGCTGCTGTTTATAAAACTAAACTGGGCAAAACTTTTTCAGCCAATCGGTTGGATTCCTTCAGCCACCTGGTCCAGAGCAGTACCAGATGCCTCAGTCTCCCTCTCCTTGTAACCCAGCGCAAATGCAGCAACAATATACAGGTTAGTGCAAATTTACTCTCGCACATGTTCAGATTAGCACATACCAACTTGGCAAAGCATCAGCAGCTTTCAGTTGCTCGCATTCTGACAGGGCATCTGTAAAAGGCATGTATGTGCTGCTAATTTCTCCATTGCTATTTATACCAAGAGTAATTGGCAGAAAAAAAGCATGATTTATACATTGGGAGATTTCTCTGGTCTGATTTTGGTTGCAAAATCAAAATTTATGAATAATTGAAAGTCAGGAAGACATGCACTTGTGATGTCTGAATGAGTCAAAATGGTTGATGTTAGAACAGTTTTCTGGCTGAAATGCCAATTCAGAGCAATCCATTAGTTTAGGAAATTATCTTGGGAGGAAAGACCCAGTTATTGGGCTCAGGCTGTGGTTCTTACGTTGTGTGATTTTATAATGGGGTGTTTTAAGCTGTACTTTCTGTCATTACTATGCGAACAGACAATTCAAAGGATAATGAAAATCTGGTGACAACAAACAAAAATGGGTATGTTTCAAAAAAAACCTGACAGATTACATATCCCTGAAGTCAAAGATTAAAGACTCAATATTAACTCCTGTCTACTAATGATAGATGGATAGACCACTGAGCAATAAACTAATAATAGGAATCTTGTTGTTAAATTCATTTGGATCTCCATGTCTCTGGGTTGCTGGATTCTTCAACCTCCCCTGTACTCTTCCTCTCTTGGCATAACTATCAGACCTAAGCTACTGTTTGTGCAATTAAAGGGTGAAGAACTACTTGTACATCAGAATTTTGCTCATCCAGCGATAGCTGTGGCAAGAGAAATTCTTTTTACCAGTTCTGAGTTGAGAGATCCAAAATGTTTGCATCCCTACTTCAGACTGTGCAGATAAATGGTTTTCTGCTAAGCTAGCTCCAGTGACAAAAAAAAGAACTGTGTATGCTGGAAATTCAGCAGGCCTGGCGGCATCTATGGAGAGAGAGAAACAGAGTTAACGTTTCGGGTCCAGTGAAGTCTAAAGAAGGGTTACTGGACCGGAAACATTAACTCGGATCACAGTTGCCAGACCTGCTGAGTTTTTCCAGCAATTTTTGCTTTACCTCCAATGACAATTAGCTGCTCTGACATAGAGGAATACTGTATACATCTGTTTGAAATATATAAGCAGAGTTTCTAAAATCAGTTTTCTGAGGAAGTAAACCAACGGTTTTACAGTGCTGTGGGAAGTTAATTGGGCTGACAGAGAAAAAGACTTCATAAACCAAATGACACATTTCTGGGTGGAACTGAGAGTTGCTGCACAAAATTGAGGGACAAACTGTGTATATATTTATGGTTACGCAGGAATAATTCGCAGCTGACCCTAGCTTAAAAGAAGTCAGTTAGACTCTCTCTGAAGTGGTATTGTGGTATAGTCCTGTGGTATTGTGCAGCATTCCTTTCTTATTCAGATGGTTACAGCTTCAAAATAATAGGGCCTGCCTGTTGCACTAACCAGGCTTCTCACAGTAGGAGTGGGTGACTCAGAAAAGTGTTCCGGGGCAGTTTCGCCTTTCCATCATAAACTGACAATCATTCAGGTTGTGGAGAGGTTCACAAGCTAGACAGTGTCCACCCTTTCTGCTAAATGCTACTCCTGAAATATGCAGTAGAACCTTGTTTGGCAATAAAGAGGGAAAGGAAGGAATTTTCTCTACCTTCACTGAAGTGAGTTCCTTTGGATTTTTCTTGAAAAGGTGAACATTCCTTAATGTGGTATAAAATATAACCTTAACAAATGCAGAAGTTGCGATCTCAGTAGCCTTTTAGCTGAGCTAATGCTGTAATTGGAACCTTCTCACTGGTAAACTGAGGATTACTAATCTCTTGAAGTTCAGAGAAACAGCTGATGTTGGGCAACAAGCAATAGAGTTAAAGTCATCTGTTGGCATTGTTGAGATGAGTGTTGTCAAAGTATTTCTGGCATCTAGGGTTGCAAGTCTCTGTGGTACTATCATGTGAACGCATAAATCACCGGCATCAGCACCTGCAACCATTCAATTAGCTGCTGAGCGAGAAACCCAAAGATGAGCAGATATGCATGCCCTCCATTACTCATTATGGATCAGCAGGGAAATATTTTGTGATATATGTTGGGATGATTTCAATCTTAAATTCACTTTAAATTATGGCTGGATTTTACCTGAAGACAGCACCAAATTAATACTGGGACAGACTTGGTTGAATAAATAACTGTGTGTGAATTACACATTGTTATTAATGCGCAAATCAGTTACTTGTCGCGAGAAAGAGCTACGTCGTTGAATTGCGAATCACCACGAGTTTTGTGGTACTGCAGTAATTCTTGAGTTTTTGACTAACCTGATCAATCTTGCGTTCTCCTGGTTCCAGCGATGAGGAGACTTAACATCTTGCTTTCCAACAGGCTTTGAGTTGCTTGTGCACTGTATTTCATTTGGTCACCTGCTGCATCTTTACAACCAGTTATTTTTGTTTTGTAACCAGACCCTTGAACTCAGTGGTCAAGAAAGCATCATATTGAACAGTTCCAAATGTACCTTGATATGCCAGCCGTATAAAAGGTGGTATCTTTTCACTGAGCTTAGAAAGCAGGCATTTAACCTGTGTTAAGTCCATTCTTGGGTTTCATGTACAGTCTAACGTAACGTTCAATTTTTAAAAGAAATTATGATTATCCACAAGATGAGTTTTCAAATTGACCATCAAAATTAAAGCAAATCTATATTCATGGAAGTCCAATTTTGAAGTTTTTAATTTTATTCCTGTTACCTTAGTTGGTCATTTTATTGACTTGGACATCTAAAGATATGGCTAGGTTTCCAAAATGTATGCAAATATAACTTGGTCATGGATGCTTGTAAAATGACTCACTATATTTGAATGACTCTGTGGCTGATCCTTTTGGATAATATTTTGCAACAGCAAGTATCTTCAGGCCCTTCTTAAAGAGGTGAGTATGTTTTAAATTAAGGTTCTCAAAATGGCATTTGGTAGAATCCGGTTATGATCTATTACATTGAAGCTTCCTGTGCAATTTTTTCCATGACGGTTGATTGAGCTTTTGTTTTTCTGCCTCCTCAGGTGTGCCAGCTCCCAGTCATGGAGTTGTGGTCATGCAACTGAGTGTGCCTAATGGCCCTCAGCCCCCTCAACCTCCCTTGTTACCACAGTGGAACCAATGTAAATACTATAGTGTGGAACAGCGAGGGCAGAAACCCACTGAACTTTACAACCCTGACAACCCAACGCAGGTACCCTGATTATCTTGAATTCTATACTTGGTGCACTTGTGTGATATGGTTCATGCTGCCACCTATCTGAGACATTTGCTTTGTGTTTGTACTGATTGCACTAATGACAACACAATCTTGAAATAATAAATTCTAATCTTTGCAATGCAGCACTTGAGATGATCGATCAGGCACTAGTAAGTGCTCCATGTGTGCAATGGTTGGTATATCCATTGGACATAGGTCATCTGTGTTCATACTTTACCTGTCAGAGAATGGCCTGAAAATGGCCAGGCCAGTATTTCATTCTGGATTTTTCACTACCTGATTTGAGAAAATTGCTCTACTTCCAAATGGGATAGTGAGAACTGGACTGAAGAAAGAGGGTCAGGTTAGCAACGCTGGGTCACATAGAAAGGTATTTTAGTTTTCAGTTGATGTTACAATAATGAAGTTAAAGAAGCAAAAATTATTTGGCTCTGGGTCTCCTGAATTACACTGATTCTGCTCACAACTTAAAAGTCACGCTTTATCATATCAAATCAATTATTTTGATTCTGTACGTGTTCTTTTTTAAATCAATAAATAAGAGTTATACTTTTACTGTAATAAGAATAGAGACTTTATTTGTGCCATTAACCACCTGCTAGTGCTGCTTCCCAGTCTGCTATGTTCGAAAGTCACAATAATTTCATTTAGCAGCAGAAGAGAAGGCTGAAAAGAGATCTGATTGAAGAGTTCAAAATCATGAGACCTGGACAGAGTAAATAACAAGAAAATGTTCCCACTTGTGAAAGAATCAAGCATAAGAGGGCATAGATTAAAGTAATGAGTAAAAGAAACAAAAGTGAAATGAAGGAAAGCTATTTCAGGCAGTGAGGGCTTAGGAATGCACTGCCTGAGAGTATGTTGGACGGAGGTTCAATCAAGGAATTCAAAAGGGAATTAGATAGTGACTTGAAAAGGGAGAATGTGCAGGAGTACAAAAGAATGGCAGTAAGTGAAATATTCATTTGGAGAGATGGTGCAGGCATAATGTGCCAAATGCTCGCCCCCTGTGCTGTAACAATTTTGTAATATTCACTTACATGTTCAGTAAAAATACATGATCTGGGAGAGTAGAATCACATTGTTAAGTTTTTAAGTACAATGTTTCCATTGTTAATGGGATGTAGATATTTACAATTGAAATGTCAAATTAAGGTCACAATATATGACTTTAAAATGGACACTAAATTATGTCAGTTTGCCCTAGTCCACCTGTTTCTTCACTGGATTCTCACCCTTAAGTTGACTTCCGATATACAGAGTCATATAACTTTTATTCTTAAAAATTAAGGAAATAAGTATTTCACTTTCTGATTGTCAAGATTAGTCCCCTTAGCAATCAGACCAATATAGCAGCAAAAAGCTTTTCTGTCCCTTTTACTTGTCAGCAACAATATCCACACATTTACTCGCACTGTATACGAGAAGTTACACAGCCCTAACATTTGTCCTCTTTTGTCCCGCTAAAGAGCACACTGCCATTGTGAAATAGTGTTTTGTTTCAATTATATTCTGGGCCAGTGAAGTCTATTATTTTTAACTGGTGTTCTACATTATAAACCATAGCTCCAGTAAAATTTACAGTTCTGTCAGCTTGGCCTCTTGCATCACGGTGCTATAAGTGGGCAAGTTTGCTTCTTTGATTTTTCAAATAGTTTATTTGTGATGTTGCCTGGGCTATAATGGGGAAATGAGGTACTTCTCCTCCACCTGAAGGGAAGGAATGGCAGGTAAACTTTCCATACCAACTATGGTGTATTTCTGTACACTTAGTTACTCAGAGGTATTAGCAGCAATCTAGGAAGAGGTCACCCTCATACCTCTTCAGCCAGTGGATGGTACATTGCGAGGGTGAAGGGCAACATTGGCCAGACATTCTTTGAGCTTCACGTTGAATTATTTTGGTTTACATTTA